AAGTTAAACTCCCTGATCGAGTCATCTGGGTTCCACCGCTCAGGTCTGATTGCCTCGCGGGAAGTCAGAATGAATCGATCCCAAAATAATCGAGCAGTGCAACAAACTTTGATGGAAACGCTGCTGAAAACCTTATGCAAACTTTAATATGAAGTAAAAGGCAAGTTATATGTTTATGTACCTCTCTGTTTAAACAGTAAATGTTGCTGCGGGTTGTTAAAATATATATTTTTTTACGATAGTAGCGTTCGAGATGTGTTGTTTTATCGTTAGCTAAAATAAATGGTGTAGTATGCTAAATGCTAACTGGAAATGTTGATATATCCGTGTTGTGTTTACCTTTAAGTCTTTTACTTTATGTCAGATTGTGCTGCCTAAGCAGTATGGATATCAGTGAGGGGGATGTTCAGCACAGCGAGGAGCAGCTGAAGAACACACTACACAGTGATGACAAGGAGAAGGTAAGTTTTAGTGTTTTTTTTTTTCACATACTTTAGCCTAAAGCCACTCTATCTCTTCTGACGTTTCCTTAAATCCCTCAGCTTCGTAGGAGGTTGGCACAGTTACAAAAGGAGTATCTCAAGACAGCTCAGAGGCTGCAGGTGAGACTTGTCAAATGTTTTCCTAAAGCCTGAGAAGAAATGGAAAAATGGTGGTGTGTATAAAAATGTTTGTCTGCACACAGAGGGCTGAACGGTTGGAAGCTGTGCAGAGGCATGTCAGGAGTAGGATTTCACAGCAGAGACATCAGGAGCAGACAGAAGCAGAGGTCACGTCAAACTCTTCCTCATCGATAAAAAACAATAACAATGTGATGGTCCAAGGTTTACTTCAACGTCAGCACACCGAAAGTAAGCCTGGCTTGTTTTAATCTCTTTCATCATTTAAAATCTAAATATAACACGTCAAACCTGTAAAATTTAGCCACTTAAACGTTTGGCAGCACAATGGATCAGTGGTTAGCACTGTTGCCTCACTGCGAAAAGATCCTGGGTTCAGTCCCCAGTTTTTACTTGTGGTCTTTCTGTGTGAAGCCTGTCATTGCAAAAGAGGCCTGTGATCTCAGTGGGATTTTCYTGGTTATATAAAGGWAAATAAAATAATATAACCCAATTTCCACAAAAAATTGGGACATTATGTAAAGTGTAAATAAAAACAGAATAGTGATTTGCAGATGTCATACTGTCGTATTTCATTCACAGTGGAGCATAGTTAGCATGTCAAATATTAATTCAAAGATACTGAATCATTTTTGCCATGCTATAAGCCCTAATGCACCCCCACGCAATCAGAGAGGCAGGCTTTTAAACTTTGTACTGATAACAGATGGTCCCTCTCCTCTTTAGTAGAGGAACTTTTTTTTTCTTTCTTGATTTTATTATTCCTGCATTGTGAGAGTCCAGTAAATGTTACTGGGTGTGTTCAAGGTCACGTTTTAACTGCCCAGAAAATCCTCCCATCACACACACACACACACACACACACAC